ACTAATTTCACAAGCTAAAGAATAGTAAATAATGCACAAATATCTGTAAAGCTCCATTGAAGTTTTCTTGGCTTGATGTGAATTTTTCTGTGAACTGAATTTGTTAATTTGGAACTGCTGACAAGTTGATTACAAATGACTTGGCGCTTCCCTATAGACTTCAGTTTTTGTTCAAGTAGTTGGTTTCACTCAAGATAAGTCTGATAGTTTAAGGAGAGAATAGTATTACAAAACTTCAGTAATACATTGCTGTGAATTGTGAATGTTATGTATCTTCTTTTTTTTTTCAAGTATGTTTGCTCCTAGTAAGGTTTACAAAAGACATTGTTTGCCCCTTGGCTTAACACACTGGGAAAGACAGCATTTTCCTTTTCTTTGTTATATTATTTTTAAAAGTATACCAGGTTATATTTAAGTGATTTATTAGGGGATTTTAGTTTGTTTTTTTCCTCTCCATGTTTCAGCAGAGTTGTTTTGACAACAGATATGTTAATAGGTTGTGAATTTCCAAGTAGATTTTATTATCGTCTCATTTTTGATGGATTATATAGGAGTAACAGGTAGAAAGGAGAATCCTTCTTTAATACTTTGGGTTATCTTGGAAGTGTTCAAGACCAGGTTGGATGAGGCTTTGAACTAGATGATATTTAAGGGCCCTTCCAACCTATACCATTCTGTGATTCTATGATCTTTGTTAATGATTTGTGATTTTTTCTTTGTTTTTTTTTAAGAAAACTGTTGGATCAAGTCATCAACATTCGTGCTTTTACACCACCTGAGTACTTTTCTCTGAAACTTTGTTGCTTTGTTATTTTTATTTTATTAAATAGCATAGCATGATCCTTGATTCACTTTTGCACACATGCCTTTCCATTTCTCATTTGTTTTCATAATTCAATTGTAAGATGAAAGTTCAACTGTTCTCTTTAATAAGATGTGCTTCTTTAATCTAGATGGATTAGATTGGACAACATTGTTCCTGCTTCACTGTCATTTGTCTTGCTCTCTTCCAGAAGGAAGATGTTTAGAGAAGGTTTAATATGCCTAGTATTTTTCAGCCTTGTTAAATCTTAATCCTCATTTTCAATGAGATAGTTGAGAAATTAATCATTTTAAATTTGAAGCTGAAATTTGTCATATTCATTTTCATTTTGAAAGCAATTAAATGCTTGAGAACTTGACCTACACTTAGTGTAAGGTGGCATAAATGTAATCTTTCAAGTTTAGTAAAGATCTAGTTTGATATGACCAAAATGATAACATTTAAACAATTGTTTATTTTCATACTTAGTGCTATCTGATTTTCCTGCTATTTATTTTAAAACAACAGCAACAAAACCCCTTTAAAATGTTCTCTACAAATAAATGTAACTAGCAGAAGAATTATCAAGCATTATGAGACTTTTCAATTTATAATTGGCTTAGGATATAAGATGATGAAATGGATTCAATTTTTAATATGGCCATTTATATTGAATATGATCTATAGAAAGTAGGCAATGAAGTAAATTTTGAACGGGTAGACTGTCTTGTAGGTGTGCGAGACATGAGAATGTTACTTTTGTTCCCATGCTATGATGGAGTATTCTTTCTAAAAGACTTGAGACTGTTTGGTCTTATTGGCAGACAGGTAATTAAGCTGTTTTATTCACAGCTTGCTTTTTGTTTTGTGCTGAATAGAGTCTCCAATAAGGGAAAATTTTAATTTTTCATTAAGAATTAAATTGTGTTATATATGTATACTTTAGCATTTTCTGAATATTAAATGTTCCCCTTTGCAATTTCAGGTATTACAGATTTTATGTGGGTATGTGTGTGTGTGTATATATATATACACACACACATACATATATATAAAATAAGTGGAATAAAAATCCATTTTAAATTCCAGAATTACTGACAACTAACAACCAATGTTGTTACAGTTTTGCAGGAGAAATTTGTCTTGAGATATGAATTGAGAAATTGGATGCCAGAGGTGTAGTTAATTGGAATTCTTTGGTTTTGCTAAGGCTAGTTGCACTACTTAAGTCCAAAAAGGAGTGAAGTTCCCTGAGTACCTGACTGTGGTGGGTTGACCCTGGTTGGATGCCAGGTGCCCACCAAAGCCCACTCTATCACTCCCCCTCCCCAACTGGGCAGGGGGAGAAGAATAGAATGAAAGGCTCATGGGTCGAGATAAGGACAGAGAGACATCACTCACCAATTACTGGCATGGACAAACCTTCGGGGAAAAAAACCCCAGGTTTTAATTTATTACCAATCAGATCAGAGGAATAAGAGAGAATAATGAGAAATAAAACTAAATCTTAAAACACGTCCCCGCACCCCTACCTTCTTCCCAGGCTTAACTTTTCTCCCCATTTTCCACCTCCTCCCCCCCAGCAGTGCAGGGGGACAGAGAATGGGGGTTGGGGTTAGTTCATCACACGTTGTTTCTGCCGCTCCTTCCTCAGGGGGAGGACTCCTTTCCCCGCACCAGTGTGGGGTCCCTCTCATGGGAGACAGTCCTCCAGGAACTTCTCCAACGTGAGTCCTTCCCATGACTGACAGTTCCTCACGAACTGCTTTAGCATGGGTCCATTCCATGGGGTGCAGTCCTTCAGGAAGGGACTGCTCCAGCTTGGGTCCCCCCACGGGGTCACAAGTCCTGCCAGCAAACCTACTCCAGCATGGCTTTTATAATTTGGGGAAGTAAAAAAGACCTTGATTTTCATGGTTTTTTTAATGATAAATTGTGACATTATCATGTTTTATGTTTGCTGTTTTCTGCTACTGTCACTTCTTCTAGTATGTCACATTAAGTTAAATTAATAATTCACAGTTTTACAAGTGTAGACAAAAGTCTAAATGGAGTACATTTCCAATGAAATAATGCAGGTTAAATATTGATTTATATTAAAGACTTGACACATTATTTTGCAGAATGTAAAATTAAGGTATTGCCTTAAAAATTACAAAAATTATATTAAATCAGTTAAATAATAGAACATGCAGCATGAAATGAAGTCTAGAGGATAAACTATTGCATTTAACAGTGTTAATAGGGTTTTTCCAGTCTAACAGAGTGAAAGATGAACCAAATCATTCTTCTATACATCTTTTCATTTACTGCGTAACTATGGAGCAGGAGATTGTTATCAGTAGGCCAAACAGCCATTTGATCTAATGGTCTGTTATGAGAGACTAGCGTAAAAACAAAAGTAGCTGTAGATTATATGGAACATACAACTGTGGGAAACTGGATGGTCATGTACTGTAGAAGCATCATCAGAGTATGTTTTAACAAATGAGTTTAATTTAAAAAAAAAAAATCTGTGTTTTTCTTACAAGTTTTAATGCTTACAAGCTGGCTCGTCACCCTAATCAGTGTTTCCAGAATGTTTTCTACATGTAAAAGGATAGGAGCAGTAATGGGGAAATAAATACAGAATTCTGCATCTATGCTATCAAAGACAGTAAAAACTGAGTGGAACTGAGAATATTTTTAGCAGCTTTATTTCATTAACCAAGGGAATGATGGCACATTTCTGTGAGTTTTCTCAATTTAGTAGTAAATAACTTTTGAATTATTTCTCATCTTATAAAGTACTAAGCTAAAGTGAAGTGACTCACAGAAATGATAGCTGCTTTTTTTCTTGGAAGTATTGTGGTTTTTTCTTTGTTTTTAGAAAATGTGTTAGGCACAGCTGGATTACTTTATTTTGTGAATCCTAAGAGGATTCCATCAGTTTTTTCCCAGCAATGATTAGTTTATTCTGCTCAGAGGAAAATGCTGTTTCCATCCCTGTGGCAGGATGCCTTTGCAACAAAACCCAGCAGCTGGAAAGCAATGCATTTTCTAAGGAAAAAGCACACACCTTAAATAATTATCAACCTATTTAGCAGTGTTATGTTAAAACTACATTGAAAGTTTGCATTACTCTGAATTGATACAAATGCCTATAAAAGAAGGGCTTGAGTAACTGAAGAAGCATAGTTTAACTGCTATTTGAGCTAATGTTATGGTTAGTGTATCTAGAGGGAAGAACAGTTTGCCATATATTGTGTGTTTGGTGGAAAGGACATACATCATCTGTCCATTAGTCTTGCTCATAAAAAAAAATACTTGTGCAAGTGGAACTGTTTTATGAAACAACTTTGATGTATTTATAATAATGTGTTTTTTTCATGTATGCACATAGACTATAATATAATGCCAGTTAAATTAGCTTCCTGAATTGTGAATAACATGGGCTGTGTTTTCTATAAAATGTAAGTTCCCGTTTCTTTTGTAAGTAAAGTTTTTGTGCCACTCAACAAAACTGCAAAGGGAACACATGTGGAGCCTTAAATATTTTTTTTACCTCAAGTCCTTTATAGATGGGATATAAAAGGACATTGTATAACATAATAAATTATATGGAAAGGAACCACATGTTTTCCAAGTAGAAAAAATGCATTTTAGTGATCTTTGGAGTATGTTTATATCCATGTGGCATACTTTTAATCCTGGTTACTTATCTAACCATTCTTTCAATTTCTTTGCCATTTGTCAGTTTTCGTACTTCAGTGCAAGCTGTATCTACTCTGGGAAAAATTCTTGCTGTTTAGAGGAGATAGGCTTAAAAAACCCCAAAATATGAAGATGCCCCAGTTCCACATTTCACTTTGGAGATTTTTATTTAGAGATGATAAAATAAAACAGTCCTTTCCCTTTGCTATTGTAGTTTCTAAAGCCTAAGACATATTTTGTTCTTAAAGATCCTTTTCCCACCTAAAACCTGTAAGTATGCTGAATGTATTCAAATCACCACTATGAAATGTGAGTCTCACAGTAAGATGCAGATATCAAGAGAACTGGGGGGGAAGAACCAACCAACCTCACCTCCCCTTCCCTTCCATAAAAATAGTTTCTTTGTAGGGGTTTGTCTCCCTGAGGAACTTCCTGATACTCAGATACTCTGTCATGTGTAATTGGATTGTAGCTCTTTCTGAATACTGTTTTCTCCTCTTGACAGCATGGGGTAACCTTGGAAATGTTCTCAAGAGCCAGGGCAAGATTTCCGAAGCTGAAAGCGCCTACAGAAATGCCTTGTACTACCGCAGCAACATGGCTGATATGCTTTATAATTTGTAAGTATGCACGGCTTTCGTGGGATTGGATTGTCTATGAAACCTGTTGTGAATGGAGGTATTGATTTACTTGCTGGAAATGGAGATGATGTTCGCTGTTGCTTTGTAATAGTTGTTTCATTAATTGTGCTCCTTGAACTATGGGGTGCACAGGTCCTTTTCTTGGTCAACATTACTGTACATTCATGTATTGTGTATGGAGAAGGCAAACTTGCAAATCTGTTTGCTTTAAAAGAAGCAAAAAACCCCCACACTGAACAAAGTACAGATAGATGAGCTGATGATTATAGCACTCCATCTATTTCTGACTCTGCTGAAATATACAGGTGTTATTTAGACTTCTTTTTTAAGTCTGAATAATATTTGGTGTGGGGAGTGGGTGTAAGCATTTCCTAGCATAAGCCAATACTCCTCCAGAGGTCTGAAAAGGTAAAGTGGCAAATTACTTTTCTCCTGTGACTCACTTCAGAGCAGCATAGGTTCAAGAAAGTTTAATTACTAGAATCCTGTCAAAAGTGGGAAAGAATAAATACCACAAGCATCAATATAACTGTACAGTAGGGAAAAAGATTTCCCAACTCATTAACATACCAGAGCCTGAACACAGAAGCTAGCGTTGTACTGAGCTTCTCAGTGGAGTGCGATCGTGCCGTGTGCCCCAGCGGGGAGGGGGGCAGATTCTCCGGGTATCCTGGCTGGGCTCCCTGCTCAGCACCGCTTGTCGTGCCAACGCTCGCCTTTCCTTCCCCTCCTGCCATCACCCACCCAGCCCGAGGCCCCAGAGCGGGGGTCTGCTGTGAGACAGGCTCATCACCTTCAATAGCCTTATGCTCTTGTTTTGCTATGTGTGCGGAGAACAAAATCCAGGTGACTGCTGTTCATTTGGTGGTAGTATGAAAATAAAGTCCCATGTGCGGTAGAAAGGTATGTATGTGAGAGAAACAATGTGTGCAAAACCTAGATGCAAATATTAAGTCTCTTTAAATAAATAAATAAATAAATAAACAAATGTTAGCCCTGTAAATCTAGTTTTAAAATGTCATTTATAGTATCTCAAAATTAAGTTTACTGTAAGACAGTTTTTCTTCTTTTTCTCTTGTTTACCAAGGAATAAGTTGCCCATTTCATTAATCTGTCTTACAGGTAAGCATACTGGAAACTCAAAATAATTTAATGATAGAATTTCTGTTACAAAATCGATTTTGTATCTCAAAATATCTATATTTTTAATAATCATACAATTACATACATACATGTGTACCCATAATTTTTTGTCTCTAGGCAATGGAGTGTGTGAAAAGCATATTTTAAAGAAAAAACTCCAGCTTACATTTCAAAAATAACTTCTGAACCCAGCAGAAGATTCTAGGAAAAAAAAATGACGAGATTGATAGTCCTCTATTTGTCATAAAGCATTAACTTTGTGGATCAAAATTATAACTATTAAATTTTTTTGTATGCCCATACAGTACTTTTGTATCTTACTGTACCTTAGAGGAAAACTGAAGTTAATACCAGGGTAAGAAGAGGAAGGGGGGTTGAGCAATAAAGACAGGAATATAAAAGAAATAATATTTCCGTAGTTTTGCTGTTCTCAGAACAAGCTGATAATCTCTCAGCTTTCCATTGATATACAAAATATATACCTACAAACCTTCATTTCAATTGAATAGAAAATTTATTGGAATTCTACTGAATTTGTGTAAAAGGAATTTAACTGACATACTGGTTGGAATATATAGGGCAAGAAGTTACCTTACATATATACCTGTGAAAGTAAAGGAAGTATATTCAGATGGAAGTGTTTGCTATATAGTATGTGTATATGTATGCATATGCAAGAAAGAATCTCTAATTCTTAGCCTTTCTGCTACTATCTTGAATGCAATAGAATCCTTTCTTTTATTTCTTTTATTTTTTTTAAATCTTCACAAAACTATTAGTTATTCAACAGAAATTGAAAAATCTTGCATAATTTTTTTTGGTTTTGTAGTCTTTCTGTGTTGGATACTTCCATATCCAGCATGAAAAATAGATGGTGAATGGAGTGGGCTTTGATATTACAAGATCACTAATGAATCTATTATTTTAAGCATAAACCCTGCAGAGCTCCCTTGTAAGTTCAACCCATCCTTGGCATGTGGTTCTGTGGGAGCCTTTTAAAAAAAATACTGTAATGGAAAATTGCATCCTGTATGTGCTTACAAGACGCCAGTTAGATTTGCTGTTTCTGTTTTTTAGTATGTGACTTCCAAAATGAAACAGCAATTTAGTAGAACTTCAGAAAAAAAACAACCTTACAGTCATTTTTGATTGCTGTATTTTGGCTGTAATATTTCCTAAGTATATTGTAGTCTCATGAGCTCATTATTTTTTCTTAGCACTTATACTTCAATATTTGATACAAATTAATTGGCATGTGCAGCCGAGTGTTCATACACAGTAATAAAAAAATCAAAGTACTATCTGATTGAGGAACAAATTATTAAGGATTAACTCATAATTTTTAATGGGTAACAATCAAAGAGAGAAACTACATAAAAAGTAGCATTTGTTGATCTCTCCTACTTTTTTAAACAAGCTAAAATGTGAGGTTGGCTTAGCAGTTGGCTATTAATGCATTAAAATCTAGAGAATTAACAGATGAATGGCTGATTTCATTGGTATATTTGTATTTTCTGACTTACATATTATGGATCTGAGTTATGGCTGCTTTTGCCATTTAAGACAGTTTAAACCGCATTAGTTTAAATTGAATAATTATATGATCTCCATTTGAGGTTTGCGTGATTCTGAACATATAATTTCTCATAGCCTTCAAACATGTCAATTCTGTAACCTTAAATAAATTCCTAAACTTTTAGAGACTAGCAGATTTATTTTTAATTAAAGAAGAGGGAAAAACAAGAAAGGAAAAAAAAAAAAGCTTTTGCTAGCAATAATGTTGGGTTTGACTGTTCATTACTACTTTAGGTATGGATTAAACTGTATTTGTTCTGTTGACGTTTTCTCTGGTTCAAATAAGTATAAGTGAAACATATGCATCGTTTATACCTCAGGATAGCTTGTGACCTAGCCTGTCTTGAGGATAGGATCTGTGGCTTGGAATTTAGGAAGCTTGAGGTCAAGCTAAGGGCTTGAATTCTCCTTTGGAAGCTTGCTTTCTGAAACTCTCATGAAAAACTCAGACGGTAAATTCCTAGCAACTATGAAAGCATTTGAGATTTTCATAGCTATTTCAGTGCAGAAAGGATTTCAGTTGCTGTTTTATAGTGTAAATGGAGAATGTATTGCAAATGACTTTAATAAGTTAGTTTGTACTTTAAAAATATATGCAAAGTAGCCTCCTATAACTATCTTCTCTGACATCTTGAGACTACTCTACAGGTAATTTTTACAAATAAATTTCAAACCAAAATTCTCAAAGCTATGTAACTGTTAATTTCAGCTAGATTTCTTAAGGTAGTAAGTCAGCATAAACTGAGATCTCTTTCCATGCCTTTTTTTTTTAAACAAACAGAGAAATCAATGTATTTTAATACCGTAAATTAAAAGGACTGAGCTGTAGAAAAACAATAGTTTGTTCTTCCAAACTAGGTAATATTCAATAGATTAAGAACAAACTATTTGGGGTGGTTTTTTTGGCTTTTCAATCTTTGTTGCCTTATGATTGTTACCTGAAGCTCATGGGGTATTTTGTATTGTTTCAAATTGCTTATAATTAATCATAGAATTGCCTGGTTGGAAAAGACCTCTGAGACCATCAAGTCCAACCGTAGCTGTCCGCTACTAAACCATATCTTCGAGCACCCCATCTACCGGTCTTTTAAACACCTCCAGGGATGGTGACTCAACCACTTCTCTAGGCAGCCCATTCCAGTGCCTGATAACCCTTTCAGTGAAGTATTTCCTGACATCCAATCCAAACCTCCCCTGGCATAACTTAAGGCCACTGTCTCTTGTTCTATCACTAGTTACCTGTGAGAAAAGACACATACCTGCCTCGGTACAACCTTCTCTCAGGTAGTTGTAGAAAGCAATTAGGTCACCCTTCAGCCTCCTCGTCTCTAGATTAAACAACCCCAGTTCCCTCAGCCGTTCCTCATAAGGTAATGCTTAGAGTAAAATGGCTTATCAGTCAAAAGACAGTTTTGCATACATTATTTCACTTGTATTTAGGCCTAGCTCTGCTTAGAGTATTCTTTTATCATCCTTCTCAGTAATCTATATTACTTTGAGTTTCTCAGCTGATTTTAAGGATGTTCACAATCTCACATAAATATTGAGTATTCCATTAAAATTATACTAATTAGTGTATTATTGGATTATATAATGCCCTACAAAGGTAAAGTTCTACCAAACAGCCATCCCCTTGTTTCTTTCCCAAAATATCTCATTTTGCCTTTAGTGATACAGAGCTGTATGTACAAGTTTATTATGCAAATAATTTAGTTTATTTGAACAAGTTCAAAATATAAGTTTCCATGAACTTTAATTTGGCAAACTTAGGGTATTATTTCAATAAATGTGGATTTATTTAGATTTCTGTTAGGTAAAGTCTTAATAGTAGCTGAAATTTTAATTCTGTAAAGTCTGGGATTGCACAAGTGTTTTAAAGCAAAGTTTAACTCCACATCCTTTGGTAAAAATCAATATGAGCTAAGTTCTTCCTTGTCTGTTGTTGTTAGCCTGTGTAACATCTAAAATTGTGTTCCCTCTGTTTCAGCCTTTTTAGGTTGCTGGCATAAAAATCTCCTTTGCTGAGCTATCAGCAGTGAAAAGCACTAAAAGCAGCCTAATCTACTAACCCATGTTGAACTGTATTTGAACCTGCCCCAGACAAAGTTACTGCACCACTTCACTTAGTAGGCCGAGGTTGTGGTTCCTCTTCCTTGATAGCCTAGAAATTTTTAGAATGCAGGATCTTGAGTTAAAAAGCAAAGAGGATGTGTTGTCTGCTGCCTAAGTACTTGATTATTTTTTTTTCAACTGTGAATGCA